AAATAAAGATGACATTAGGCTTGGATCCGTCGTTGCAAGAATTTGGGGGGAAGGGGAATTACAATCGTGGGCCACACACAGAAAATTGGTGGAATCGTCCAAAGGAGCAGGCACACGCAAAGAGGGAGCATGGGGGCCAGGAAAAGGAGCATTAAATACATGGTCTCCCACTAAGGAAGCGCATTTAATGCTCATAGGGTTTATCACACAAGCAGCCGACGGTAGGGCTTCCTCAAATCCCTTTTTTGTGCAACTCACGTGATCAACTCCTAAACTAGGGTGGTTTTGACTTTCCAAATTAAAGTCATCTCTGTAACCCATGCTAGAAGAAAACGACGTAAAGACCTTTCCATCATGAACAGCGGAATCTTTACCAAAAGAAACATGGAGGTTTGACAGAGGCATTGACCGAGGGTCGACATGCAAGATGTAAAGGTTACTGAAGATATCATTGATAAAGATGTAAAGGTTACTGAAGAAGCTCATGTTCACAAGAATGGAGAAGAAACAGATTATGAAAGTGAACTTGAGGTTTCCTTTGTTGCTTCTTCTGATGGTATTGTAACAAGAGAGAAAACTCCAACAAACGTTGAAGCTTCTTCTGGCTTCGTTAGTGGGGAAGATCAAGACCCACAAATTACTCCAAAAGTTTCTCTCCTTGCTCTAGGCGCTAATTCTGAACCGTCTATGGAGTCTGCCAAAATTGTTGGAGTAGTGGATGAGTCTTCTGAGGCTGATGAAGAGGCTTCTGGGGATGTGGATTCGCCAATCTCTGATCTTCGCGGTCATACATCGGAAAAGGTTGAAGACCCGGTCAGACTCTCTCGATCTTCTGATGGTGGCGGCGCCCTGCCGATCGCTTCTCCGGCACCGAACTCGTATACGCCGGTTGCTCCATCTCTTTGCGATGATGTCGATCGTCCCTTGCATGTCGACCCTCGGTCAATGCCTCTGTCAGACCTCCATGTTTCTTTTGGTAAAGATTTCGCTGCTCATGATGGAAAGGTCTTTGCGTCGTTTTCTTCTAGCATGAGTTACAGAGATGACTTTAATTTGGAAAGTCAAAACCACCCTAGTTTAGGAGTTGATCACGTGAGTTGCACAAAAAAGGGATTTGAGGAAGCCCTACCGTCGGCTGCTTGTGTGATAAACCCTATGAGCATTAAATGCGCTTCCTTAGTGGGAGACCATGTATTTAATGCTCCTTTTCCTGGCCCCCATGCTCCCTCTTTGCGCGTGCCTGCTCCTTTGGACGATTCCACCAATTTTCTGTGTGTGGCCCACGATTGTAATTCCCCTTCCCCCCAAATTCTTGCAACGACGGATCCAAGCCTAATGTCATCTTTATTTGGGCCCAACAGCCCAAATATTATCAACCACCCTTTATCTTTTGTTGAAGTCCTATTGGCCAAGTCCACACCTTCTCCAGCTGGGCCTTCACCTCATGACTTCGTTGCTGATGGCCCATTGTGCAAGGAAGCTCCAATTAATTTATTACACGACGAGGTACCTTCTGATCATCCCATCAAACTTGATTTTGTTGACATTGTTGAATCCTTGGAAGATGACATATTAATTATTCCCCCGGATATCATGGCTAACGGAAGCATTCCTTACGAACGTACTTTATATGGTTATTTTGTTGGCAAAAGGCCTGCATTACCACTTGTTAAAGAGCGACTCCAAAACTTGAGGTTTCATTTGATGAGATTCGGATCAACATTCTCCTTGCCATAACCCGATTTGATAATTTCACGGACTCCAGCACGTAAAACATACTTCGATCCTTCATTAGAATTTTTAGATTCCAAGTATTTCTTCTCCGCCAAGTTCCGATTGATCTGATTTTCAATTTTCTCCTTCAATCGTGGAGGTTTATCCCCACAGTAAGGAGATTAATCCTTGTAGACAACCTTCCTTCCTCGTCAAACAGCACCAGGCTCGGCATCGAGATCTTCCTCATACAGCCTTTGACGATCTGGATCTGGGGGATCGGAATTTTTCAAACCGAACATGCTTCCAAACTTTCCAAACATTGCACCTTCGATTCACAAGGTGAGAACGAAGGACGATGATGAAACGGCGACCAAAAGGAGTAGAGGACCAGCGCCGGAAACAGCTTCCGACCGGCCAAATCACTGCCGAGTCACCCACAAAAACTGAACAACGAGAGAGAGAATCTTAGAGAGAGAAAGTTAGAGAGAGAAATTTTTTTTGCAAATGACTTGGTTTAGGGTTAGGGGGTTAGGGTTTAGGGTTAGGGGTTTAGGGTTTAGGGGGTTAGGGTTAGGGGGTTAGGGTTTAGGGCTTAGGGCCTAGGGCTTAGGGCTTAGGGTTTAAGGGTTTAGGGTTTTAGGGTTTTAGGGTTTAGGGTTTATGGTTTAGAGTTTAAGGCCAAAAGTGATCCTAAGCCAAACATCTAAAAGGTACCAAAAGCATAAACTAGGTCTAACAACTATTAAAACAAATAAACAACAATTTATTATTATCCAACTCCACAATCCGGAGTGGTCTTCAACCTTCCAAGCATCCATGAAAAACAAATGTCTTCTAGTCTTCATGCATCTTCCAATAATGGTATCCTCCATCTTCAACCCAATCCAATCAATCAAAAATTGTCTATAAATCCCAAAATATCTCAACTTCTTCAAACTTTCTTGACGAAGCTTCAAACCCAAAATAGTACCCAAATTAGCAACCAACTTTGTACACCTTATGCTTTTATTATTATACTTCATATATCCCAAATAAAGAGAAGTCTTGTAAGTTCCAATGAAAGCATAATTCCATTTTCCCAAAATCACAAAACCCCAACCGTTGAAAAAATCAAACCAATTCTCAATATAAACAAAAAAATCTACAATGTATCCAATCTTCTTCTCAAAAAAACCCTTGTCCTTCAAAAACTTTGAATCAATCCAAGCTTCAATCAACCAACTTTGAACATCTAATCTCTCAATTTTAGCCATCCACATAAAGAAACCATCACTCCAAAAACCATTATCAAGAAAATCATCACTATAACCAATCCTCTTCCCAAAAAAATTATTATTCTTCAAAATCTTCAAATTAAACCAATCTTCAAGCATCCCAATTTGAATACCCTTCCTCTTTTTATTAGTAATCCCAAACTCAACTTCTTCATCCAACATCCAAAAAAACTCCATAATAAGCTCAAACCTTAGACTTTTATAGAGAAAATACCCGTTAATTCCTTGAATGTACACACCTTGTTTCCAAGGCGGAAGTTCACTTTTAAGGGAAAAAGTGATAAAAATCCTGAATCCATCAATTCCTTGAATATACACACCTTGTTTCCAAGATGGAGATTCACTTTTAAGGGAAAAAGTGATAAAAATCTCATATCCGTCAATTCTTTGAATATACACACTTTGTTTCCAAAGCGGAGGTTCACTTTTAAGGGAAAAAGTTATAAAAATCCCGAAACCGTCAATTCCTTGAATATACACACCTTGTTTCCAAGGCGGAGGTTCACTTTTAAGGGAAAAAGTAATAAAAATCCCAAATCCGTCAATTCCTTAAATATACACACCTTGTTTCCAAGGCGGAGGTTCACTTTTAAGGGAAAAAGTGAGAAAAGTCCCAAATCCGTCAATTCCTTTTATATACACACCTTGTTTCCAAGGCGGAAGTTCATAACAATTAAGGGAAAAACCCAATTGTAAATGAAATAAAACCACTTCATAAGGCATAAACCAAATGAAACTCGGGATCAAACCGAGATGCAATTCATTTTTAAGGGAAAAAGTGATAAAAATCCCAAAATCGTCAATTCCTTGAACATACACGCCTTGTTTCCAAGACGGAAATTCATAACAATTTGGAATAAAACCCAAATGTAAATGAATTAATTCCACTTCATAAGGTAAAAACCAAATGAAACTCGGGATCAAACCGAGAAGCAACTCACTTTTAAGGGAAAAAGTGACAAAAATCCCATGCCCGTCAATTCCTTTATACAAATAGTGAAGAATAACTCCATTAATAGCAATAGAAATCCTCCATATCCAATAATTCCAATTTTGCCCTTTCACCATAACAGGAACCAAATACCAAATACACTTGCTATGGTTGATCATCACTCTATCTCCACACCAAAAAATACCTCCTGAATAAATGAGAATGAGGAAAAGCATTGTAGAATGACCAAAATGCCCCTGATCCCAAGAGATGAAAACCCAACAAAAAAGATCTTCAATTAGATGATGCCAAGAAAAAATCGCATCAACCCAACCACCTCTGTGATCGAACCAGATCCAAGAATCATCGAAAAAAATAAAAATTCCAAAAAAGCCCTTATCGTTTAAACCTCCTGTACATATAAAAAAATCTTCAATCATAGAAATCCCACCCATTATCTCAAATCTATTAAGTCTAAGCCGAATCAACAGAGTCCAATCCTCCTCAACCTCCATATAATTCTTAACCACATGCATATTCACATAAAAATGACCAATTTGCCCCTGCCTCCAAAAATAAGGATAAAAGGAAAAGTAACCTTCACATAACCTGTCCCGACATTTATGCAAATCATACCAACCACCACTTTGCTCAAACCAGGCCCAGATCATTCCGATAGAGAGAAAATACCCAAACTGCCCCTGTTTTTTATTCCTCCCAATCGCATAAGGATACCCATCAAAATTCACACCTTTCTTCATCTCAACAAATCTGCGACAGCAGCAGGGGAAAATCCACATCTTACAATCCTCTTTATTCTCAATCCTCCTAATTTTATCTCTGAACCGCTGCTTCAACAAGAAGAAGTGCCCCTTTTTATTAAAAATTCTGACTAAGAAAAAGAACCAGAACCTGTTATTATTATTCCCATGGCAGCAAACCCACCACAACCTCCTTCTAATCCAACCATAACTAAAATCACTCCCCATTACAACTATTGACATTTTTAATAGGGATATTCCATTTTTTGCAAATTTCGACATTCAGCCCCAAATATCCCAAATTAAGGCCAAATAACTTCATTCTAATATCCTCCATAATTCTTTGAACAACAAATTCAACAGAATTAGTCTCTCTCCCAAATATCTTTTGTTCCTCTCACTCCAAATATGATAAACTGTAGCAGCCAAAGCACATTTCTTGATAAAATTCCCAATAGTCTTCATTTTGAGGGAAAATTGAAGTTCCTGAATAACCTCAAACCAATTCCCAGGTCTATGCTTGATTTTAGTTTGCTCTTTGACCATCATCCAAACTTCCAAAGGGAAATTACACTCAAAAAATAAGTGACAATGAGAATCAACTTGTCCATTACAGAAAGCACAGTTGAAATCATTAGAATCCTTCCATCTCTTCATTCTGTCTTGAGTTCTAAGTCTTCCAAGCACAGCCAACCAAAGAATAAAACAGTGATTAGGAATTCTGTTCTGAAACCAAACAAGATCATGCCAGTCAACTTTAGTTCCTTGATTAACTAATGAAGAAGAAACTTGATTAACAGCAAAAGGAACAAGCTCTTTCTTCCCATTCATCCAAAGCACCACATCCTTTTTATCACTCACAAGCCTAGGTAATTGATACTCACCCAGCTGAGGAATCAAATCTAACCAATCCTCCGGCCAATTCCAATTATCATGAGTAATCACATTACTAACTTTATCCCGAATATTAAATCCAGCATTAGCTATTTCCCTATGAGATAGAACATAACTCAAAGGTCCTAACTGATGCCAATTATCAAACCACATAAATGTTCCTTCACCATTTCCAATCTGAGAATAAAAAGAATCCCGAAGAAAAGGTCTAATCTTCAATAAATTCCTCCAACTCCAGCTCATTTTATCTTTCAACCCCACATCCCAGAAACTCCTTCCTTCAAGAATATACGAATTAATCCATTTGACCCACAATGAATTATGACCACTTAAGAGTTTCCAGATTCTGCTAGAAAGAAGAGCAACATTCCAATCATTAAGATTTTTTAGCCAAGACCACCATAAATCTTTGGTTTACAAATCTCATTCCAAGCAACTTTAGCCACTCCCTTCCTATTCTCACCACTATTCCAAAGGAAATTTCTCATGATTTTCTCAATCTTAAAAGTAATGGCTTTAGGTAACAGCAACACAGAAGCCCAATACACAGGAAAGGAAGCAAGAACAGAACTAATTAGCTGGAGCCTTCCAGCATAAGACAAGGATTTATTCTTCCAGTCATTGACCTTAAGCTTCACTTTTTCAATAAGATTCTTGCAGTCCCTGTTGAACAATCTGGTAGATATTAACGGAATGCCCAAGTATTTCATTGGAATTTTTCCTTCAATAAAAGGAAGAATATCGAATATAGCACTTTTGAATGGCTCCTTAACATTACCAAAAAATATGTGACTCTTAGACAAATTAGGAATAAGCCCAGCAGTTCCAGCAAACTCATCCATGGCTTTTTTAATAATTCTAACAGAGCTAGAATTACCATGACAAAACCACATCAAATCATCAGCAAAGCAAAGATGGGTAATTTCCTGAGCTCTACAACGCCAATGATACTTAAATCCTTCATTCTCCCTGATACATCTTTTAAGCATGAGATTAAAAACTTCCATCACAAGAGTGAAAAGATAAGGCGATAAAGGGCAACCTTGTCTCAAACCTCTCTTCCCTTTAAAAAAACCATTAAAATTTCCATTAATATTAATCATGAAAGAAGAGGTGGTCACACAATTCATGATCCAAGCAATCATAGTGTCATGAAACCCAAAAGCTTCTAGAATAGCACGAAGAAAATTCCAATTCACAGTATCATAAGCTTTATGGATATCAACCTTCAACGCACAGCGAGCATAACCTCTTTTAACATGATATCCACGAACAAGCTCTTGGGAAAGAAGAATATTATCAAGAATTGATCTCCCAGGAATAAAAGCAGATTGGTTATCAGAAACCAACAACCCAAGAATGTCACAAATTCGATTCACAGTTATTTTACTGATACATTTATAGACCACATTACAGCAGGAAATTGGCCTATAGTCTCCAACTTTGCCCGGAGTTTGCACTTTAGGAACGAGAGCTATCACCGTAGCATTAATCTCCTTTAGAATAATCTTTTTGCTGAAAAACTCCTTCACAGCTTTGCAAAAATCTTCACCCACAATGGCCCAAGCAGATTTGAAAAACTTAGAAGAGTACCCATCTGGACCTGGAGCTTTATCATCTCCAATATCAAATAAAGCAACTCTTATTTCTTCATCCGAAATCTCCTTAATCATATCCAAAGCTTGATAATGATCAACTTTATTCACAAAAAGGCTAACAGGGTCTCTAATGGAAGTAACAGAATGCTCAGACCCAAGAAAATCACTAAAGTATTCCACAACTTTTTTGCATGCCTCATCTCCTTCCCACCAATTCCCAAACCCATCCATGATTGTTTCAATTCTATGCCGATTTATCTTCCCTTTAACCACCTTGTGAAAATACGCCGAGTTACAATCCCCCTCTTTTAACCATTGCACTTTAGCCCTTTGCTTCAAATAACTTTCCTCTTCTTCTCTAGCTTTAAGGAATGCATGTAAATAAATTCCTTCAACACTTTGAATCTCTTCATTAAACGGATCACCATCAAGCTCCATTTGAACTCTATCTAACTCTTCACGACATTTTTGAACATTTTCCCCATAATTTCCTTGAGTCACCATTAACTTACGAAGAGGTTTCTTTAAAATTTTCAATTTCTGACATAATCGAAACATATCAAAACCATCCACTTGAGTACTCCAACATCTAGCAACTGTAGGAAGAAAATCATCCCTCAAAGCAATAGCATTTACGAATTTAAACGGCCTGACTTTAAATTTCTTTTTCAAAGGGAATTTAACAATCATTGGACTATGATCAGAATTCCGATATGGCTGGAAATTAGCAAACACACAAGGAAAATCTTCAATAAACTTCAAATTCCCCATCACACGATCCAACTTCTTCAACACACCATTATTCTTTTTTGGTCTTTGATTCTAAGTGAAATGAATACCATTTTTGTTCAGATCTTGAACTTCAATTTTATTCATACACTCATTGAAATCAACCATTCCTCTGGACAACACAGAACTTCCAGCAGTAGAATCAATAAGCTCTCTGGTCACATTAAAATCACCAGCAAGAAGCCAAGGAAAATTATCAACCACCAATTTATGCTTCTCAAGATCACACCATAATCTTCTTCTATCCATATGGTAATTACACGCATAAATGAAAGAAGCAAAAATCCTTTTATTCTCTTTAATAAAAAGAATTTTACAATGCATGACTTGATCAGAGGAATCAACAGGCATGACAACCATCTCTTCCGGATCCCACCCAATAATAATACGCGTACCCTTACTACTATGCTCATGATTAGAAATCCACATCCAATTACCAAAAATAGAATTACAAGTCCTTTGAAGTTTATCAAACCGGACTTGCGATTCAAGAATGGCAAAAAGAGAAAGCTTATTACTCCTTATAACATTTTTTATTTCCTCTTGCTTAGGCCTTAAATTTGAACCCCTCACATTCCAGCAACCAACTCATCATCATTGATCAACAAAGTTGTTTTCGGTACTTATCTCCTGGGCACCACCAGTAATGATCTCCTGATCAACCTCATCCAAATATGACATATCCCTTAATCCCATTTCATCAGATAACACATCAAAAGGATTTTTTGATATTATCTCATCCTGAACATCTTTACCAGATGTAGAACCCACATTATCAAAGTTAGAACTAAATTTAATATTCACTTGCTTCTTTGGAACATAAACCTTCCTTTGACCTTCCTCTTTCTTCCCCATCACTTCTACTTTTCTAGCATTAAAGTTATCAATAACATTCTTCACATTTTTTCCCAATTTTTCCTTGGGAATAAATACCCCTGTTCCACTTGATTTCCCATTTTTCCCATCAAAAGACTGAAATGCCCCTGCCTCTTTTCCATCTTTTTTGATCTTCCCAACAGCAAACTTTGAATAACTTTCCCCATTGTTTCTACTTCCTTTTCCTTTGCTACTTTGCAGATCTTTTTGATTCTCTTTTTGTACTTCTTGATGAACTGCTTGCTTTTCTTTTTGTTTCCCTTGATTACCTTCACTTTCAACAACTTTTTCTTGCCTCTCAACATTAACACTTTTTTCCACCGGCATAGTACTCTTTTCCAAAGTTCTGATCAAATCAACTTTCCCATTTTCATTAAAGACCACATTATTACTTGTTTGCTTCCCTTTATTGTTCTTCTTAGTCACCAAAATAAACCCCTCATCATCAACTTTTTCTTTTTTTGTTATTCTCTTCACTAACATCCTTATCATCAACTTTGGTAGCAACTTCCAAACTATGCAAAATACTGCAATTGCTATTTTTATGCCCATAAATTTTGCAATGAGAACAAACATCCGGTCTCCAAGCATACTCCACCCTACACTTTGACTCCACTTTATCACCTGTCCCAAAATCAATTGATACTACACTAATCTCCTTCAACCACTCTGATTCTGCTGACATTTCCACAAGAAATCTCATGAAAGCAGGTCTACCCCAGTGTTCTTTGCACATCTTCAGAGTGACCTTATCCATAGTAATCGGTTTTCCAATTTCATTTGCAATAAGTGTGATACCCTTATTATTCCAGTATTCCAATGGCACATTAAACACTTTAACCCAAACAGGAACAGAGTTAATTTGTGGCTTGCTCAAAACCAATCCAGGCCTCCATCTTTGAATAAACAAAGGAACATTGTTTATTAGCCATGGTCCACCTTCAAGCACACTTGTCATACCTTCTTTAGAGTCAAATTTGAAGAAAAAGAACCCTTCATCATTAACCATAATATCCTTTAGTCCAAAAATCTTCCACATCTTGAATGAAAAGTGATTGACAGTAGGAAATGCAAGCTTTTTCCCCACAAAAAAACCATAAAGAGAAGCATGATAAGGAGCTCCTCCTAACATCAATCTGCATAAGGAAGCTCAACTTTGCCATTAGGCTTTCCATCCACTTTAGGAATAACTTTGATGTTAAGATCAACCACAGAGCTAGTAGATTCAACCATTCTAGCATAAGACTTCTTGTTAAAATCACTGACCAATTTGGCTGCTGGAGACATAGTTGGTTTTGAAAAATTATCCACATTCATAGGCTCCTTATCCCATTTCAGATTCAGAAAATTAGCCCCCTGTTCCATCTTCAATTCAGAACCAGATTCCCCATCCAGATTGCTATCACCATTCAGAGAATCTTTCATAACATCATCATTAATAATAACAGGAGCACTCTCGACCTTCTCATGAACATAGGAAGAATTATAAGGACTCGCCGATTTCACAGGACTCTCAATCGCAGCAGAAGAGTTCGCTAATTTCACAGAGGACAAAGTCGGAATAGCTTTAGGATCAGAAACCACAGGTTTCGATCCCAATATTCCTTCAGATGGAATCGCATCCTTCACAGATTGGGGAATCGACATACTAATATTATCATCCTCAGACTAAGAGGAATTAAATCCTTCAACCATATCAGACGTAACTTTAAGCAATACGAATCCTCTCTCCTTCACCAAATCATTGATTGTTTTATTTGCTTCAACCGATTGAGAAGGATTTTGAAATTCGAAATTCTTACCTCCATTAATCGCATTATCCATGGCTTCTAATTCTGATTTGATGAGATTCGGATCAGCATTCTCCTTGCCATAACCCGATTTGATAATTTCACGGACACCAGCACGTAAAACATACTTCGATCCTTCATTAGAATTTTTAGATTCCAAGTATTTCCTCTCCGCCAAGTTCCGATTGATCTGATTTTCGATCTTCTCCTTCAACCGTGGAGGTTTATCCCCACAGTAAGGAGAGTAATCCTTGTAGACAACCTTCCTTCCTCGTCGAACAGCACCAGGCTCAGCATCTAGATCTTCCTCATACAGCCTTTGACGATCTGGATCTGGGGGATCGGAATTTTTCAAACCGAACATGCTTCCAAACTTTCCAAACATTGCACCTTCGATTCACAAGGAGAGAGCGAAGGACGATGATGAAACGGCGACCAAAAGGAGTGGAGGATCGGCGCCTGAAACAGCTTCCGACCGGCCAAATCACCGCCGAGTCACCCACAAAAACTGAACAGCGAGAGAGAATCTTAGAGAGAGAAAGTTAGAGAGAGAATTTTTTTTGCAAAATGGGTTTAGGGTTTTAGGGTTTAGGGTTAGGGTTTTAGGTTTTAGGGTTTAGGGTTTAGGGTTTTTTTTTGGATAAAAGGGATTACCCTTGGCAAATATTATTAATTAAAAAAAAGATTACAAGAGAAAGGAGGGAAAACGCCCAAGAAAAATAAAATTAAGACCAAGCTAAGGGACAGGCCCCAAAGCAAGGCCTAAGACAACACCTGGTCAACTGGAATAGAGATATGGCCACCGTGAGAGGAGCTCGGATGAGTATCGGAAGATAGGAGAGTATCTCTTTGTTGGATGACATGAGGGAAGCAAGAATCGTCTTCAGTGTCGTCAATTCTTTGATGTGAGAGAGCATCAAACATGTTGGAAGACACATTCTTTTTCTTCGGATCACGAGAGAGAGGCTTGTAGACTTGGGCGATCTTTAAAGCGGGCCCTTTGCTTTTACGATTGTCAACTTGAACCTTCTTTTTAGAGATAGGGATAGCCCTAGTTCTCCTTTTAACCATTTGAAACCCTTATTTGTCCGCTGCAATCGGAGTGGGCGTGACCATCTTTTGGACGGGAGGACAAGTCAAGTGAGTGGGGCAATTGGCAAGATCGTGACCAAAAATTTTGCAATGTTCGCATCTCTTTGGGTTCCAAGAGTACTCCACTTTTAGTGTGGTAGATGTAGCACCCTTTAGCCGTGATTGCTTTGATTTTTATATCATTTGCCCAAGGTTCATTAGCCGACATCTCAATGAGAATACGGGCATAAACCGCTCTACCCGTAACCCGCTTACACATGGTGGAGGTGTAAGAGTCAACCTCCAAAGGCTTTCCAAGTTTACTAGCAATAAGACTTAAGCCATCTTTGTTAAATAGTTGGAGGGGGATGCCAAAAATATTAACCCAAACGGGGACCCGATCATGAGTTGGTTTTTCAATGAAAACATCCGGGTCCCATTTTCTAAGGAAGAGAGGGATTCCATTGATCTTCCAAATTCCCTTTTGAAGGACGTAATTCATACCCTTGTCTTTATCAAATTGAAAAAAGAACATGTCATCATTATTAATAAAAATGTCGCATAAACCATGTTCCTTCCAAAGATCATGGAGCCGATCTTTAACAAGCGGAAAAGCAAGCCTTTTCCCCACAAAATAACCATATAACGTTCTTTGAAAAGGAGTGCTACCCTTTTCCATAATTTCCGAGGGAATTAAAATGTGGTCATCCTCCAAAATATTAATATTATTAATGAAATTGAGAGAAATAGGCTTGGAAAATACCCCATCAAAAATCCCAGCGTCACTGGAATGAGGATCG